CTGTTTTCAGAAAGCAACTTCCCCGACTGACAGTTCGTTTTCACAATCGTATTTCATGTCACTAGTTTTGCTCTTTACTGATTTGCACTCGAGGCGTTTTTTCAACAGTCAGATCCAATCACTGCTGATGAATCCCTTCTGACTGTTGTGAAACTTCTCTTTTTTGGGCTTAAAAGTGAGCGTCTGACTTCAGAGACTTGTCATGTGTCCAGTTCAAACGAATGAGTCAGAGGATTTACTCATTGGAGATAGCTGCCGTGATAAATCTCATGTCTGCAGTGAATCGTTATGTGACTGAAGCTCCATCGACCCTGATCATCGCAAACACAGCCTCCCGCAGTATATTTAGAGTAGGATTACTTTCTAGATAAATTCGTCCCTACCTTGCTGGTGCCACTAAGTTGTCCTTCATCAGGACACATACTTGGTTCCACTGGACCACACGTCATGCAGGGTACACAGCCATTGATTAAGAGTCTGGGGCTTTACGGAAAACAAGCATTCAATTTGTGAAAGTTGCAGCCGATTGGTGCTGTCAAACCAGCAGCCCTGCTGCCTTGACCCCGCTCTCTTCATTCTCAGCCGGCTGTGAGCTCATAACATTTTATTCACATTGTGGGGATACTGTGGGGATTCAGCACATCCTTCATTCGGGCAGATGATGATATACCACTGCAGACAGCTGCACATTGATCAGTAGCCTTTTACATTACCTTGAGGCCATCACTAACGTCTGTCACTTAATCTCTGTAGACATTTAAACAAAAGTCACTTCTGAAGAGGGAGATGGAGTTCTTCACTTCCACTAAGTGTTATCTGCAATTATGTGAAGTATGGAAAAAAAAAAAAAAAAAAAAAAAAAAAAAAAAAACAAAGATTTCAAGGTGCTTTCAAATAGAGTTGAGTTGTCTATGTGATGTAAATATATACAAGAGAGGAAGCTCAGTTCCAAAAAGGAGAGGATAAATTTGTGTATTCTCGTGAGACTGAGTGACACAGCCAGTCACAGCAGCTGCTACATCAGAAGTTATGGAACTGTTTTCTTTTTTTAACAGTATATGCTAAAGGTTTTGTAACAGCATCTTATTTAGACAAAACTGACCCAGAGTCTGTCAAACTGTCACCGAGCATATATTTTTTGACAACAAACCTAAATAGCGTCTCAATTTGGCGGAGACGTTGAGACGCCGCTGATCAAAGCAAAACCAATTACAAAGAGAGACGGCATTGAACGAGAAGCTATCACCGCTGTGGGTGGAGTCGACCGGAGCACCAGAGCTGTGCATTAGAGCAATAAAAAAAATCTTCATTACATGTATATGCCAGACGGCTATGACAAGGAGACAAAACAAGGACTGCAGGGGAAGAAGGCTCTGTCTGATATCACTAATTGACAGGAAATGAGTACAGCATGTTATCGCACATCTCAGCGGTGTTCTCCTGACACTGACGAGCTGTCAGTGATTCAAACTCAATTTTTGGATCCACGTGCACCAGTTGTCAAGGACGAGTACAGTAGCAAGGACGTGTCCTGAGGTGGTTGTGTATACACCAGGAATGATGTTTGTCTCAATTAGTTGTTCATTCAGAGCTTGATTATTTGGAAAACAAACTGGTCGTTGTCACAGAGTTTGGTGTTTAGAAATAAATGGATGAAATTGGAAAAATAATGTTTTCTAGATTTGAGCGTGTCTTCATAGAAATCTAATAAAGACATTGACATTCTTTTAACATATCACAGTGGCTTCCAATATGAGGGGCTCGTGCCCCCCAAAGTGCGTGGGGGTGTTTCTGCGGGGACACAGCCAGGCAAATTGTTTTTCAATTTAAGTTAATTTAAATGTAATTTTTTATTTTTGTTCCATGATGCTTTTTCTCTCCTTTTGTTCATTGTGAATAGCAGTTTTTTAAAAGAGTAAAGTTTCAGAGCACACAGTCTGAATATAGTGTAGGAGATTGATGGCAATTCATAAGACACTGGAAACAAACTTTATAAAAAATGATGTAGTATCTATTCATAAATACATTCATATATACATATATATGCATGTTTTACTTAAATGAGGGCACAGATTCATCAGGTTTATTGTTTTTGCTTTTTACTCCTGAAAGAGAAAAATGAAAAAAAAAAAAGTTGGAGATAACTTAATTACATTGGCATTTGCACAAAGTACACATGCATTTAATTGAATTGATGTTTCTCTGAGCAACAAAACATTCTTTTATGTTTTCACCTAAAGACTACACATTTACATATGCTATTTATTATGTATTGGTTGATTGAAACGGTGGGAAATGATAAGCACGGACTGTCAGTCACTGAACATGAGGTTATAATCGTAGTGCCCGTGCATATGAAATATATCCAAAAAGCTAGTTCTGTTACAATGAGTGTTTTTTTTTTTGTTTGTTTGTTTTTTTGCATTTTTGCATGGCTACCCCGAGGCCTCATCAGCCTAGCTGTCACCCTCCGCTCCGGTCCTTAAGAACCCCTCTCAAACTGTTGATGCCAAAGGGGGCCGTGTGTATGAAAACACACATCTCTTCCCAGCAGATGGTAGTTTTTCTGCCCATACTGTCCCACTAGCCAGACAGCCTTCCCGGGCTTATCCATATCCACAGCAAGCCTAGCAGGCTACTGGCATCGCGTCACCCCCTTACAAGATTCTTTTTATGGATTAAGGATCTGCAACACGTCTGCAAACGCAGGTCACTACCCGGCTTTTCATTGCCACTTGAGTCCATTCTGCCCAAGAGCCCATGCATGTAATGATTTAAAGTGTACTAGGAGTTTCCCTACTACAGATATGTGAGCAGCCTTAGTACAGTACAAAGAGATGGATCTGTTTGTAGATGAGGCTAAAAAAATCCAGCATTTTGTTTTTGGGTAGATATGTGCACATGAATAAATAAATACAGTGTCGAACACAATAGTTCACGCACCGCCACGAGTGAGAGACAGAAAATGCATTCTCGTGCGTGAGTATATTTGCACCCTGTTTATATTTAGACTGTTCAGTTGGGGGGAAAACAACCATGATGTCCCTTGTAATGACCTGGCTGTCAGCGTGTGACAACATGTGAATGACCCTTATCAAATTTGCTCTGGAATAAATTCTGCTCGAAAGCCGAATCTATTTCCATTCATGAATGCCAGATTTAATGGTTGGTTGGCCAGCGTTGGCACCAGCAGGCTTTTCTACTCAGGCTGCAGCTCCAAGGACTCAGTAAATTTTTGGTATATGTATTAAAGTCCCTGAACATGTGCTGTGTTGTTTCTTCATTTACTACCGAAGCACGTGCACAAGAATTATTTGTAATTTAAATCAAAGCTGCAGAATGGATTTAAAAAAAGTAGGTTTTCCCAGGGGTTTGTTTTGAGGTGCTAGTAAAAAAAAAAGAAAAAAAAGGAACCTGCCTGGTGAATGAATACCATGTGTTCTGACCCATGCTAATTCCTGTTGTCCTTTTTGCATTTAACCTTGAGCGGAGCTGTTGAAGCAGAGGCTGAGTGGCAGATGAAGTGACTCCCATCTGTCTGGGAGAGATGGGCTCAGCCTCACATGCTGGTGTTCTCTGTGAGAATGAATGGACAGCACAGGCCTTAGCCTGCTGAGAGAGGGACAGACTGGACTGACTGAAATAAAATGAGATGGTCTACCTGGTAAACAAGAGGATAATGAGACGCATCTTTCTTCTCTGACACAGAAAGGCAGAGGAAAGCACTCCACAGCCCGTAATGTACAGTCGCCTTTGTGTTCCGTGGGGTTTGTGCTCTCAAAGCTGATGTCATTGGGTCTTTGTCATTACACGTGGACTCGCGTGCGTGGAGCAGCCAGCACAGTGTGGCTGTGCACGTGTACTTCACAGTGCAACTCCCACGGTGTGTGTTATTGTGATACTCTGTGTAGAAGACCTCAAACTGAGCTTTTTCCTTTTTGTGTAATTATATGGGCTTACAAGCCACACATTATTATCGCAGGCTATTAAAGCCATGGACAATCCTACTTATAGGCTCCCAGTAGGCAGCAGCACTTCAGTGGTGAAATAAGAACAATGAAATATGTATGTTAATGAGCTTAAAGAATATGCTGAATATCCAGGAGAAGCATGCAATTTAAAGGAGAGTGGAATAGTGGGAACATGGGATCATAAACTACTACTGTGAAGTCTTCTTCTTCTTTGTTTTACTGAGTAATTTCCCCCACCCTCCCACCGCCTCCGTTACCACTACGACAAAACTAGAGGACCAGCCCTTCGGCCGGTCGCCACAGTTGGGGTTTAATAATAAAACACTCAATGGAAAAACAGCTTCCCCATTTCATTAATATTGTATGCAGAGCTTGTTTGTGCGTGTGTTGACTTGTTTCATGTTTTACCACGTGATACTGCGGCGGTACACCGAACATCAGGACATTTAATTTGGAACGCTGCTGATACTTTAGGCTGAAAAGGCACGAACAGATCTTCTTAACATCCAGCGGCATTAATAAAAGAAATCTTCAGCCCTAATTATTAACCATGTCAGTGAAAAGGTTTATTTTAAGTTCCTCACTGTCCAAAGAAGTGCATCGAACTTAAGATTTAACAAATTCTACAAATCAGAAGCCCAGGAGTTATCACACAGTAACTGGGACGAGAAAGAACGGTGAACTTCAGTGAGATTCAGTACACCGGCCGCGCCTCGAAAACGCACTGAGACATTTCATCAAATTGATTCACTCCATTATTTTCAGACGCCTCATTGTACACAGAGTATTAATTTTCATAAATTGACTGTAACAGCCGGATACAAACAGACTCAGTAGGAGGACCCATAATCTAGAATGGGGCTGATGTTGGCCTCATGTAATCAGGGGTTAAGAAAGCAGCACTAGCAGTCATTCCAAATAATAAACAACACGCAGTAAAACCCACAGTAGACACATGGAAATAGGAGCTTTATAACTGCAGTTTATCAAATGAACACAAGGACACAGATTGGATCAAAACACTGAAGTGCATAATGACTCCAAATGGGAAAAAAAAACTTGGAGCAAATTCTTTGTAACTCTTTGGTCAGTTGTCAACAATGACACATTGCATTTTATCTAATATTTTGGGGTAGGGGTAAAGCACTTAATACTTACAGTAGAAAGCATTGGATTTGTATCAGTTAAAGATAAAACTATACAGATGTGAAGTTACACAGTTCAGTTACAAACCCAAGGGCAAAAACTAAAACCTAATTTGTTTATTGTGTTACCTTGATACTAGAGCTTCAGTGATTATTTAATCAGTAATGTATTGACATTTTGTAAAGGTTATTATGACGTGGGCTCAGGGACATGTTGGAAAATCATTGTAAGGTAATTAAATGTCTACTACAAGAGCAGGTTAAAACTCAAGGCGATTTTCTGGACATCTATTTGTTGAGGCTTACAGGTACACGCAGGTGTGGGAGCAACTTCTGCTGCCGTTTAAACAATGTGTTTCCATGGTTATCAGTGCATGGCATCATGGTAAAATGTGTTAATGCCAGACTGACCTGGAGTCAGTCCACACCTTTCTTTGAGTATATTAAAAAAAATGTAGTGCACTGTGAAGCCTACAGTGACAACGACAGAGACTGACATTGAGCAACACATTAGGGATTTGTATATATGTATATATGTATTTATATGTGTATACATCAAGTAGCACTTTCCTAGTTAATGAAAACATCACTTGGAAAGAGAAAAAGTTTATCTCCAGAGCAAATGGAAAAATTCTGTCTCCATGCATTACCTGTATTAAAAATGCATGTGGTCTTTGCCACGAACAGGGTTTCAGTAAGGCAGAGAGCAGAGTGACTGTGCAATAAAGTCTCACCAACCTGAACTTCTCACCTCCTACACTCACCACAGTCCTTTTTTAAATATGATTTGAAAACTTCCCCCACCCCCGCCCCCATGCAGGGAACAGGAACAGTTTTAGTCACAGCTGCTGTCCAGCAAAGTTTCCTACAACCGGCAGCAGTAATGCCCACTTATCTGACTTGTACACAAATGTAGTCTATTT